ACTTTGATACACCGCGTACATCTCTGGGCCTCTCCTAGAATATCCCAGCAGTCTTTTGCACATTTGTCGTATTCTTGCTGCGCAAAAGACTGCAGGATATGGAGGGAGACAGACAAAATGAGCCCTGCTTGTGGGGACACGCATCGTTCTAATAAATTCATCGTCCAGCCCTGATGGATACTGGGCTTGGTCAGCTGGACCATTAATTTGTCTGCTTTGATATGCAATGGTCTTAGAGACTTGATTGGGCTTGGAAGAGGCGATGGGGGTCGTAATCTCACAGGGAAGGTGTAGTCTCCACAGTTGGCGATAAGCGCTCTGCAGGTCAGATGGTCGTAATCGACTACAGTTGCACCGCTACCGGTGCTCAAAAGGGAGACAACTGCGCCCGAATCAATACCATGCGAATGACCGCCGAGGACACTGAGCGCGGCTATTTGAGCACTCGAATTCAGATTTTTGCCACAGCCCCCGTGGTTGCACTTGCTCAATGTTGTCTGGATCATGAAAAGTATGCGTGAATCCCAACGTGGATTTGTCCAAAGAAAGCGAAACAAAGTAATTACCTCAGTGGCAACCAACGGCGAGCCGAGAAGCGCGTCACTATCATCATGACATACTTTAGTCACACAAGCCTCTCTTTGATATTTGCCGTTCTGGAACAGCGACCTACCGACAAGTCTAAATAGCTCCTCTAACATCGAGAGCGATGGAGTAGGTTGTGCGATGGAAGTGTCAAGCTTAGCGGGTTCAATGTCTTGCATAATCATTCGGAGCGTACGGACCGCAGCCTGTTGGATCCTTGGGGTGCCTCGATTAATCATCGCCAAGAATAAGTCAAACCAGGCTAAATCACACATTAGAAGACGACACAACAGAGCATTCGCGCTTGTTAAGAGCACTGCAGAGAGTTGATAGCACCAACAGTCTCCTGCCTGGAAAGTGCCGGGGGGGCCCTGGTCACAGACTATCCGCAAGTGAATGGGAGATAGCGCCCGCGTGTAAAAACGCAAGCGAGCAATATATCCATCCACACTTCCATTTATGCCTTCAAATGTACATCCAGTCGCATGGGGCAGACAGCCGATGTAAACCGGGAGTAACTCCGTTTCTGGTATTTTCGAGCTGCACATATGTTGATTGTCAAGCATACCGTTCAGATAGAGCCTCACTTTAATACCTTCGACGACTATGCCTATGTGTACCCACTGTGAGAGAGGAATGCGGTCTTTGGATGTAAACCGTTCCATCTCAAATGAGCTGCTGCTGGTGAATCTGACTTCCAACCGCATGTCATTGTCCCGAATTAGAAGGATAGGCCTACATGTTGTTCTTGTCCCGCGTAGCAACACCGCTCTATCATATCCAGTAGGATTCTGAAGCACATAAAGCCAGAGAGTAAATGAAAGATCGCTTCCTCTGGGATTAGTAATGATGTTCTCTGACCCAATTCGAATCCCACTATCTGGGCTCACAAGTCGCATCGGAGTCGAAATCATCTCCTGGCAACGCCTCGAGTGACTCGTCATTACACTCAAGTTGCTGTCCAGCTGTGACGTTGTCGACCCATTGAGTTTCAAGTCGATGACATTAGCGGCTTGTAGCTTAGCAAGCGACCTCCAACCGACATCCTTGTATACACGAAAGAGTCCAGCTGTCACTTCAGTCCTGGCTTGAATAAACGGATGTTCTGAGGGACATTCAACCCCGCCCTCTTCCTCGAGCATTGCTGCTGACCACGTATACGAAGCTCCAAAGTTCCGTAGCAGTGCCCAGACCGCATGGAATGATCTTTGTACATATTTTTTTGCATGACTGACATCAAGACTGTTAGGGAATACATGTTCGTCAGCCGATTTTAGCCGTGAGCCCGCGTCGTTCAGAGACAACAGCAGGTTGTGTAGCACGTGAATGACTTTGATATCAGATAGGTGATTGAGGTCTGTGAAGGTAGATGCCTGCCCAAACGCAGCTATCAGAAGTAGAATCAAATGAATTTCTAGAGATGAAGGGCTACCCTTGCGTACGTTATCAACCCGATGTTGCATCAAAATGCATAGCTGGCACCACAGATCAGCACAAACACGATAGAGAGATTCTCTGCAAGACAGCACAGTTGCATCAAACGATCTGACAGGCAAGTTTAGCGAGTTGGGCTTTTTAAACAGGTCACTCAGAGAATACAAAGAGGAAATTAGCAGGCGAGGCATAGTAAGGGACGAGGCAAGTGCACTAAGCGCGAGCGTACCGTCTCGCCGCATTGCAGTGCAGTGATAAGTGTTAACAGCATCTTGCACAATCCCGGGACTATTAGCAGATGCAAGACTTGTTTGAAGGTGTTGTACCACTCTCAAGCTGAAATTGGAGTCGGTTCGCATGAATACAAAAACTCGTATTTTCTTGGCACAAGAATGTCTCCATCGGATTGTTGCTCTTATCTGCGCTATAGCGCGCCTCCATTTGACACACACCCCGCGTGACAAGTCAGCACCCGTATTTGGCGGCGCATGATAAATAGAAAACTTCAATGGGGCTTCAGTTAATGCGCCAAATACATGCTCGGGGCTCCTAAATGACAATAACACAAGCACATGGGCCAAAGCATTTGCGAAGAGAAATCTGTCACACCCATCTGATTGTGATGCGCAGAGGGCACTTTTGTGATGCCACAGCCAGGTAGTTATACGAGCCACCCCACTCCAAAGAAATAGGAAGCGACGGGGTGCTGCTCGCAAGGTAACAATATTGCACGAGCGGCTCGCATACAGGCACAACTGCGCTTCGCAGTAATTGTGCTTGAACAACAACACCGCAATAGCCCGCTCAATGTCCCAAATGGTGGGATATAGCCCTCGTTTAATTGCCTGTTTCGTAAGGACGAAGTATGAAGGGTCAAAGTTACAATAAGATTTCCTAAGCCACCGGCAGAATCGGTGACCAATCCCATCGCCGGCAATGAAACTATCTGTGATCTTTTCTTTGGTCGAATTCAAATAGATGCAGGGAACGTGCGCTTTTCCTCTCACTGAGGTATGCTTTGTCGCTTCTGAATTGACAGCAAGCATCGTGCTGGGTAATATTCGCTGCTGGATCAAGACGCACATCCAGTTGGATTTGAACCCCCCCCTCAACAAGCTCGCCACCGCTGGATGATGAGATACGTGCTGAGGTACCTGATGTGACATAAGAGCCGCAGCAAGACTCCCAGCTAGCATCGCGGCTGTGCTAGCCAAATCCTCAAACCATGATCGAGACTGACCGGAGTTTGAATCGTTATTTGAGTATGAAATACTATCGGGTGATCGCTGCCACGATGCGTTGAGCAGCTGAGATAGGCAAGTAATAGGACCAAGCAGGTCGTTCGCCACTGTGGGGCGCTGTGCGAAAGCCAAAAGCCCATTCAATACATGACGGAGAAGAATACCAACTGATGAATTATGCACAAGCGCAACACACTGAAAGGGCAGGATATTCATGTCAAGATGAGAATCGACTGAATTAGTCTGGCTCATGTCAAGTTTCTCAAACAGTGATAGAGGGCCTGGTAAGAGAATCGGGTTCTTGTGGAAAAATGTACAACTTTGCGTTAAGACCAAACGACAGAAGCAGCGCAAGCACTGCAACCCTTCAGATGCTTGAGCCCGGGAGAATAAAGAAGCGCATGCAAAATGAAGTATCGACATCGAACCTTCTGGGATCGGAGGTTCGAACACCTCAGCCGAGCGTGCAGCCCAGTAGAACAGATGCTTTTGAATAGCCAGCATGGCACTTTTCAATAGAGCATGTACCTGCACGTCAGTTCCTTCGGTCAAATCGAACTTTCCTAGGTCATGGAAGGCGAGGTGTTTGATCAGAAGTCGACTCAGTCCCAACAGCGTTTTTGCTGAATTCGAAAGTGGGTGTATTCTATGGAATTCATTCTCCCTTGAGGCTCCGGACATCCGAATATCTACATCGAAGGCTGCTGACCTGACGAAACAGGATGCGATGGCATCTTTGGAGAAGCGTTCCAGAAGTTGGTTAAGTAACAAATGACGAGCGGCACGCTTTCCTGACAGTGGGACAGATCCATGCTTGGAGGAATACACGACTGAAAAATCATGTACTACAAGGAGTTCTGAAATTAAACGTATTTGGCTGTCCCAGCATGGGTAGAATACGTCTAAACCCTCTATTAGAACGCCAGCCGATTCTCGTTGTATATTACTCACTCCCATCTCAAAGTCAAATGGTGACTGTAGCAATATAAGTATCTGATGTTGCAAGCAGCATACCACCTCTGACAGACGGGCTTGTTGGGAACTTCCACACGCGAGCTTGCGATTGTCGCATGCTATTCTCCCTCCCAAGGTAACGCCGAAGTCGTATAGGTTGGATTTATAGCAATCGTACAAGGCTGCATGTGGCATTGAAATTCGATCTTGTTGACTTGCTGCGTTCGCATTCTTTACCCATCGTGCGTAATCATCAGCTCGCGGTTGGTGCAGTCGAAATCCATCTAGATTGCGCCTGTCTAGACTAGATTGCGCCTGTCTAGATTGTAAAAAAACTTCAATGGTAGCTCGAAGAATCCTAAGAGTTGCGATGAACATGTACGGTGCCTCTTGAATACTTAACTGTGTCTTGTTCCCTAGTTGACTTGCTGAATTCGATACTCCATAAAGCCAGACGAGCAATCCGAGCAACAGCTGGAATGTCTCCGGTGGCTGTTCTGAAGCCGCAGATGCATGTGAAATCTCCAAAGCTCCAGGGATGGACGCCCGCAGGTCTAAGTGTGCTAGGATGAACGCAGCTACTTCAGCATCATCTAGTGCGGTCCTCGTGCAATCCTGAGTTATTTGAACCAAATGAGACTGGGCTAAAATAGACGAGGCTGAGTATGTCGGATACTCAAATGCGCGTGCGGGGGAGTTGTACTCATCTTGGGACTGGCCGATGAGGAGAAGAGTGTGATAGAATCCAGCGGCAACCATGAGAACTTGTTTTCCTAGGAAAAGGTCAATCGAATGAGGTGAGTGTCTGTCAACCAGATCGCCAGTGCCCAGTTGCCCATGATTGTTCCGTCCAAAGACATGTATCATCCCAGAAGTGCCAACAAGGACCGTGTGATAGCAACCCGCCGACACGATCTCGATTTCAAGTGATGCACCATCAACCACAGATTTTAGACCAAATACACAATCTTTGATGTTACCGAGACCAAGCTGACCATAGTTGTTTCTACCGAACGAATATACCTGCCTATCCGGCGAGAGTATAACGGTGTGATAGTACCCACACGTAACTTGCATAGCAGCTACATCTCCATGCACTTGGAACATACAGCTAATACTAGCATGCGCACAATCAAGACCCAGCTGTCCATGATCATTTCTACCACAGGCAAATACCTTTGTACACAATCAGAGTCAGTAACAAAACAACAACACAGCACTGGTATTTACACGGCCACTGCTTGCACCGGCACATGTGTGATATTGGCCGCAAGCCAGCGTAGTCATAAGCATTCCCCGCAAGCTTTTTACTTCGTGAGCAGTTTCCTTGTCAAACAGATCGCCATGGCCAAGCTGACCGTAATTGTTGCGACCAAAAGAAAAAGTCCGGTTTTCAACACAGGCCACAATTGTGTGGTAGTAACTGCAAGACAGCGTGAGGACGCGAGTATTACCCATCCCGCGGATATTTTGAGGAGAATATCGTCGTTTGTTGCCGCCACCGCCTAGCTGCCCGAAGCCATTGTAGCCAAACGAAACTAGGCGCCCGCTCCTTGTCACTATGAGCGTGTGCTCACATCCATTGTATGCGTGTATTTGGCTTACTGGCTCTGAAACCAGTAAATCAAGTGAAGTTAGAATAGCTGGTTGCCCTGCCTTGCCCTGTGCAGGAGAGGCTGATGCGAGAGCATGACTGAGACTACGAACCCTCCCACATTGACCACTTGCGTTGTACCCACAGCTGTATACCTTGCCACTTTTGGCGAGGACAATGGTGTGCTCGTTTCCTGATCAAAGATAAGCATTGTCTGAGACAGGGACAAACGTACCCGTGGCAATCTTGGAAACATCGATACTGTCATTGAAGTGGACATTACAGGGCTTCTGCCTTGACGTCGTGTCACCATGACATAATTCCCCATATGAATTCTGCCCGCACGACCAAAGTTCAATCAAACGGCTCTTATCCAAAATTTTGCCCTTTTCGTGATCCAAGACTCTGCACAGACGCAGAGCAGATTCAGCTGCATAACTACATATTAGATATTCTCCCGGCACTAAATTAGTCGGTTTGTCTTTGTTTTTGACATACGTATCGACGAGATGAACGCCTTGCTGTTTCTGGGATGATTCATCGATTGGAGCATGAGCATGTCGTCGAGGTTTACCCTTGCAGGTATTCATTTTTCTACACAGGCAACAGCTCAGTGTGGAATGATTGATGCTATCTTGTACTTACTTTCGTGGACCAGTTTCAATATCCGGGATGGCAACTTTCCTGACGCTGCAATCTGTGAAACACGTACCTGCTCTTAGCAACAAATGAACAACAACCAGCATATCACTCATGCGCCCGCGAGCTGAAGTCAGACTGATTAATGCATCTGTAGCATTCGAACGAATGCGCATATCATTTGCATCCGTTAACACCACATGATACAGAGAATCACGAAGCGAATCGACTACCATGTTTGACCTCTTCGAAGTATATGTCTGAACCACCTCGGTGGCAATTCGGTGATCGCCTGACTTTAGTTGCAGCGGCTTCAGACTGCGAAGTAACGGTGCTAATTCATCGAGGAAGCGCCTGTCCATGGAAAGTGCAAAAGTTGATGTGTACGCCAAAAGTGAGTACACAGCTTCCACTCCAAGCTGCATTTCTGCCAATGCTCGCGGATAAACCATTGATGTTTCCGAGATTTGCAATGCGATTTGTTTCGACAACGCGGTGTCTTCTGCTTGCAACATGATTTGGTAAGCAGACTTCAACACACATATTCGTCTGTTTATTGTATTGACAAAAGCATCATCAAAGCAACAATTTGCAAGCTTCTCTTCTAGCAAATTTGAGCTCATAAGTAATGCAATTTCAAATTTATTTAGCGTTGAAAGCGAAAGTGCTGTGCTACAGTATCCTTCTTCATCCAACTCCGCGCTATCGACTCGGGGGGGGGGGGGCGGGGAGTCGTTAGCAAAGTCGAGCAGTGTGCATAACCCCTTTCCTACAAGATCTCCCAGCTCACGAGGCGCAATGTCATTGCCGTGGGAAAGTGGGGAACTGTGTTCTATGCCCATTGTGCGATCCTGATCAGTTATCCTCTATTTTGAAATGAACATAAACTGTAGT